GTTAATATTGAGAGAAGTAACAGAAAACTCGAAATTACAATAATGATATGGTTGAAGAAAGTCAACAAACGGTCGCCTGTAGAATTTTATTTAAGAGAGAATGTGACAGGGCAACTTTTCTATAAAACTAACTGTCTGGTTTTCTTATAAAACCCACAACCAATGAAAGAGCTCCAATGTGGGGCTGTCCCACATGGTACATAGAGCAGAAATTCTATAATACCACGTGGTACTATATTATGGCGCCACAAAATGATATGGCACATTATGATTGGTGTCACATATGATGTATGATAGTTGTGACACTAATCATAATGTGTCACATCATGTTGTGGTACATAATATGGTGCCACATGTGAAGCCATAGAAAATTCTGATACATAGAGACAGCAAATGTATCGTTAGATATATTTTTTTTAAAAAAAAAATATTAAATTGTACCAAAAAAAAAAAATATTAAAGGGGATTAAATTTAAATTAATTTTTTTATAAAGTTGGGGTCTTAATGGTTGGACGCCCACCCGACTAGAAAAGGGGAAAATTCCAACTAGTAGTCACTGTATAGTACAATATGCTTTCCTTATAAAATTCATTATTTACTAGTTGTAAATGCATTTGTACAGAAATTTATATGATAAAGAATAAAATAATAAAAAATTAGAAACAATAGTAAAAATTATAACATAATCATCGAAAAAAATGTTTTTTTAAAAAAAAATTAAATATTATTAAACACTTCTTTATGTGCAACATTCGTGGTTTTTTAATCGTCAGGATCTCCATCACCACAAATCATTATCTTCAAACCCCTTCGGCTCGTAACTCTAGAAAGCGCCACGTACAATTATTCATGGCTAAATACAGGGCTCTTCAGTAGTAAGCTGGTGTGCGACAGAATTGTCCTTGACTCTCAGAGCATAGGAAACCATGAGCAGAAACTGTCTGCGCTGAAACTTGAAAGGTACAATCAAATCGGATGGTATGATTTTGAGCTTATGAATAAGAACCTTATCACCAGCTCTAGCACCGGTTCATATTTTGCATTCGAATATATGGTTGTTGAGCTTAGTAATCACTAATCAAGTATATGTTGATCTCAAAATTCGGAGAACAAAAACATATCAATCGAATTGTACACTAATCAAAGAAAATATAAATGATGGATAAGAATTTTATTGGCTACCAATTGAAGTGCACCCTTTGTCGTTGGATGCGATTACCATTTGTCGTTGTACCGGTTATGCAGATATCTTCATAACTATCACTTGCAACCCCAAGTGGTCTGAAATCAGTCGATTCCTTTCTGAAAGGAACCTCAACCCTGAGGACCGTCTAGATATAATTTGTCGTGTCTTTAAGGCGAAGTTTGATGCACTGATGAAGGATGTTCGGACCCATATAGCACGCCCAAAGTTTCATCCACCACACATATATAGAACATTTAAGAAGGTGGTAGAGGCAGGTATTTGGTGCATGAAACCCTACCACGTGCAACATTTTCGCCGTTTCTTCTTCACTTTTAATTTTTTTCTCTCATCTGACACAAACACTTGATCGATTCCTATTTTGTTTAGTTGTCGTAGTCATGCTTTTAATTTATCAACGGGGAAGCTATTGATCTAGATGTGAATTGTTTGTTTAAAGGTTTAATATATTTGTATGTTTTTTGTATTATTTCGTGGATAAAGTTTTGGGATCATTTTTGTTGTATAAATTTTCTATGACAAATAATTTTGGTCGGGAAACACCTTAAAATTTTCTATGGCATAAATACGACCCTCATTGATTTCATACTTCTTAAAATTTTTCAGCGAAGCAACCCGGGCCTGAAGCGTGAATTTACTGACCCTACACGATAAAAAAATAATAATATACAAAATCGATATTGAAATAGTATGTGTTAAAGAAGATTGAAAAGATTTTTATACCTTGACATCGTGAAATACGTACTCCAATTCGCCATTTTGATGTTTTTTCTTTTTATTTTCATTTTATTAAAGATCTTGTTGAATAATGGCGAATCAACCTCAATATTATCAAACATAAAAGCCATTTGAAATGAGAATTTGGCTGAGTTTTCTTTTTCATGTTGAGTAGTATTTTTGCTGAATGTGGTACTGGTTCTTATTTTTTCAGCTATTTATAAAGTTTAAAAAAATGGTCATTGATTGTATAATTTAATTGTCAAGTGATTGCTCTGGTTTAGAGAATAATTTATTGATTTTAATTTATTTATTTTTTTACTGACTCTAATATTGTCCTGCCATTTTAATTGATGGATTGCATGATTCTTCATTTATATAATATTTAACATTTAAGATATTTAGGGTTTAGGGTTTAGGGAATAATTTATTGATTTTAATTAATTTATTTTTTTACTGACTCTAATATTGTCCCGCCATTTTAATTGATGGATTGCATGATTCTTTATTTATATAATATTTAAAATTTAAGATAAATAATGAGTATATCATATTGTAGAAATTTTATGGTTTGTAAATATAAACGATATAACCATAAACTATTTAACCTACATATAAATCACTATAATGATAATTGTAGAAAATAATAGTGATTATGACCAATTAATTAGATAAAAAATGATTTGGTTATGCCATAAAAAGTAATTAACTATTTTTATTAAAAAATATTAATGAGTTAAAAATAATTATTATTTTAAATAAGTAGCTTAAAAAATCAAAATAATTTTTTTATATGTATAAACATTCTTATATCCTTTAGTTATTATTAGTTATTATGTAATTATAAAATATATATTTTCATTAATTAATGAAAAATATAACAGCTTCTTTTTACAATTAGTTGAATAAAATGTGCTGATTTTATTTTTACAATAAATTCTTTGTGAATAGTTATATATATATATATATATAGGAATATAAATATAATCACACTACAAAAAAAAACTCTTACATTCCAACGGAAATTTTCCGTTGGAATTTTTTATATTTCCGTTGGAATAGCTATTTCGACGGATATTCCTACGTATAAAAATCCGTTGGAAAAACGGCCGTTGGAATAGCAAATATCCCACGGAAAATCCTATGGAAATAAATTCCTACAGCTATTCCAACGGAAAAAATCCGTTGGAAATCCTCAACTATCCAACACTTATTCCAACATAAAATTAAGTTTGTTGGAATATTCATTGGAATTTCCAACAGAAATTTTTGCCGTTGGAATTTTTCGTTAGAATTGTAGTGTTTTTTTGTAGTGTCATAACGGGAATGATATTTATATAAAATACATTAAATATTATTATTATTATCATTACTACTACTATTTGAGGCTATGAATTTTATTTAAACGAATGCATTTTTTTAAAAATTAAACACGTTCTTAAGCAACAATAAATTGTCTTTTATAAGAACGATTGTTTTATTTTAATTTTCTATTTTTGTATTACACTCACTGGTTTTGGAGAATAATTTGTAATCATTCTATTTAAAAAATATATAGAATAAAAGTTAGAATTATTAAATGAACTGATAAAATCGTAAAAATTAATTTCAACATTAGTATGCTTACATATTAAGTAAAAAACCAAGCGACTATGTATAAAAAAAAGAGTGGAATATGCAAATTTTTATTGATGTGATAATTCCTAATTATATATATAGATTATTTTAAATTTTAATTAGCTTTTATTAAATGTCATAAAAGAAAATAAAAAGATGAAAATACCATTTAAAAGAATGAAACGTTACATCATAAATGTACAATAATAATCCATAATTGTAAAAGTAACGTTTATTGTATATGGAAGGTTGTAGTATTTATTAGGTATAATTTATTAGATAAAATTAAATAGGTTTTATTTATGAGGTTTTATTTAATGATTAGCTAGCAATTATATATATACTAGTATTAGACCCTGTGCATTTGCACAAATGTAAATAAAGTATTGTGAGTTATTTATATGCATATAATGTAAATAAAGTATTGTGAGTTATTTATATGCATATAATGATTAATTATTTTTCTTTCACTTTTATCAGGCCAAATTTACAACTAAAAGAGTGGGAATTTTTTTTTTTTAAATTGCGTTTATCTAATTAGATGTAATGTATATTTGGGTACGTTTTTTTTGTGATTTATTTATTATTTATTTAGGAATATCAAATAAGTTTTTTATTTTTGTAAAAAAATGAATTTAATGTAACCACAATAATAACATCTAATCACATTATACGGTCAATATATAATACTTAGTAATCAAAAATTTAAAATGATTTTTGTTGTTTTCAAGTGATTAGTATTGATTATTTAATAATTAAATGAAATATTAAATACATTAAAAGTAACGTTTTTTGGAGGGAAATGGTTAATTGCCACATAGGTAAAATTAAATAGGTTTTATTAAATGCTATTAGCTAGTAATTATATATATATAGATATATATAGATTATAATTACTATTACTATGTTTTAGATAAGTAAATAAAGGTTGAAATTCTTGAGAACCCGGTCCAAATTTCCGATACCAACTCCAAGTTGTCCTTTATCGACCTCCTAGATGTGGATCGACCCAACTTAATAGCCTGAAAATCTGAAAAGGAATCGGAGACTTCCTGGTGTAGATACTCCAACGATCAAATTAGTAGTATGTTTCTAAACGAAGAGAATAATATTACTTAGGTTTTATTGAAGTGCTCACATTTTATTCACGTGCAAATCTTCCTGTGGAACCTTTATATAAGAAATGCATGGTTTATTGTACTAGGAGTATTCGATTTGTCGTACCAAGTCGATGGTCGACCCATCTAGGGGTTTAAGGCAGGGGACCCTTTATTCCCTTACTTCTTAATGGGAAAGTATGTGGGTTTGTCAAACCATCTAGGGGTTTAAGGCAGAGGGACCCTATATCCCCTTACCTCTTTTTGTTAGTTTCTCAAGTCTTGTCAGCAGCGATTAATGTTGAGGTTGGGAAGGGTAGATTTAGAGGTTTGAGGCCACCACCTATTATTTGTTAATGATTCTTTTGTGTTTTGTAAAGCTGATGACAATCAGGTCCATCTGTTAAATCATATCTTGTTGCAGTATAACTTTTTCACATGTTAGAAGGTGAACTTGGGTAACATTTTCCATTTTCTTCAGCAAAAATACCTCTGATATAGTCAAGGGCACGGTGTGTAGAATTTTTTAAGGAATCAGTGTTCAAAACTCAACTAGATACCTTGGTCTTCCTCAAGGGATTAGGAAGTCTAAGAGGGAGACTTTTCAGTTTGTGGTTGATGTTGTTAGAGAAAAAAGTGTGAATTGAAAGAATAAGTTTCTTTCTAATGCAAGAAAAAGAAAGAAGTTGTGATCAAATCAGTACTACATGTTCTCCAGTGTTTTGTGATGAGTTGTTTTCAAGCTCCAAAAAGCATTTGCAAGGACATTGCCAAAATGAGTTGTTTTCAAGCTCCCAAAAGCATTTGCAAGGACATTGCCAGAATGTGTGCCAACTTTTGGTATAAAATAAATAGATCGGTCAAAACCAATTAAAATCGGATATGACTCGTATCCAATCACCACCTAAAAGAGCTTCTCTGATTCATTTTCAACTTATGACTTGTTAACAATGGGGGCTTACAACATTGTAGGCAATATATATTTGCATTGGTCTGAATTTTCCATCCGAAGGATCAAAGCATTAAAAATCACTGTTCACATATACTCACACACACACACAGAGTATTTTGTAGCATTTAATAAACTTGCACAGCTAGGAAGAAACATCCGATTGCTATTTTACAGAAAACACTGGTGAAACTTTCTTTAAAAGAAAGAATTCATGGAGCAAAGTTTAAAGCAAGAAGTTTTTTTCTGCAAGAAACTTATGTTACACTAATAGTGCTCTCGGAAAAATATGAAAAAAGAAAAAGTTCATGCACAGATTTGTGACCCCACTAAACCACATTGTTCGAGCAAGGAGTTCAGCTCCAAAACCGATGTCCGTACACTACGAACATCCGCCTCAACCTTCTCCGACACAAAGCTTGTCTCCCCTAATGACAGTGTCTCAAGCAACTCTGTCTTTCGCTCCACAGCTTTGCCTCTCGCTGCCTGTAAGTCTTCCATTTCCATCAGCCCCACCAAAACTTCCTCATGCATGATTTTCAGTTCCTCCTCATTCAACTCCATTTCGAACAGCCTCTCATAGTAATCTACGATCATCGTGTCATATTCATTTTTCCCATTCTCTCGAACCTCCAGAATCATTTCTTTCTCCTTAATAATATTTTCAAGTTTCTGACTCAGTTCCTCGACAAGTGCAGACTCTTTCTGAATTTCAGCTTCAAGAACTTTTCTCTCGCTTTCTATTTTTCCAAGATTCTTGGTCAAGACCTCGGCTTCTTTCTTCACAACGCCAAGTTTTTCTCTGTTCAGCTTTATCTCGTTTTGTAGCTTTGTTTTCTCCTCCTCGGATTTCAATAGAGCGGTGGCTTTCCCACTTGACTGCCAGTTCTTGTTCTCAACGTTGTCTATGGCAAAGAGGACCCTCTCGTTTTCCAGTTTCCTGTGTTCATCCTCCACTTTCAACTTCAAGCTGTCTGAAAGTTTTCTCAATTCGGCTTCAGTTTCTTTATTTTTCGAGAGAGCATCCGTCACTTCATGTCTGGACAGCTCAAGACTGTTGAGCTCCTCCTTTTTACGGGACAAGTTTTCTGAGGAAGAAACTAATCTAGACTTCGCTAGAGCCTCACGCTGCTCAAAATAAGTAATCGAAGAAGAAAAGTTCGACAGAGAGTACTTTAGAGCTGATAGTTTCTTGCCAGCCACGTCTTTTCTTTTCTGAAGCTCAGACGAGAGAGATTTCAGATTTTCGTGATCCTGCTTTTTCGCCCAGATACTTTTCTCCAGTTTGCTGATTCTTTCTGAAAGTGTATCAACCTCCACTAATGCTTGCTCGAGCGAGCCAAACACGGTTAATGTTTGTGCAGAGCACGAAAGCTTTTCATGTGCTTCAGCAATCTTCTTTCTTATACAATCCATTTCTTTTGGCAAATCCATTGTGCTTGCACGAATTTCCTCCCATTTGTTTATTTCTTTTAACTCGTCCTCATCCACTGTTCTCATTTGGGAATCAATCAAACACTGGCTGTAATCATCCCCAACATGTACTTCATGCAAACAAGTTCCGTCTTCTAAATCAGGGTTAACTTTTCCATCCTGTACATGCGGTACAGTGCCATCCAATTCCTCCCTGTCACGTTCTTTGTCTGAGCAAGTAGAAGCACAGTCAAACCTGAAACGTTCGTCTCCATCAACTTCAACAAGCTTTTGTTGACTACAATCAATAATCTTTTTCAGCTCGTCCCTCTCTTGCATGGCCTTCTCGTACAAACTCATCAACCTATCATTTTCTTCATGCATTTCAGTGAGTTGACAATTTAACCTCTCAAGATCTCCTTTCATCTCGAGTTCCTTCTCCTCAGCTACATTATTTAGGCAAACGTTGCTATCTGCCTGAATACGATTTCCCGAGACTGCACTTTCATACAGTTCGATCAGTTTATTGTTGTCCTCGATTAGGACCTTGAGCTTGGCCTGCAGCTCGTCGTTCTCTTTGGCCAGGAAGATTGCCATCTCGTGTGCTTGTGCCTCTCGTTGGCTG